TGAGGGTGGACGACCAGGAGCCAGGCGGAGGAGAGGACACACCGAGATGACGGCTCTTCCCCACACAGGGCAGGGAAAAGGCAGCGGCCAAACAAATCCCCAGCACATACAGAATCGTCTCTGCAGAGAAGAGTTTCCTCCTGAATGACCAACACAGCGTAGGAGACACAACACCCTCCGTGACGCTAGAGTGTAGTGTGCATGTTTCCTCACTGCAAAGATATTACTGAAAACTTATCCACAGCAGATAACTGAAAAAAAATAAGGCTTAAGTTTTAATACAAACTGTAGTACAAACCTGTATTAAAATCAGGTCAGAAATCATCCAGTTGTAGATGAAGGAAACCAGGGCATTGCAGGGAAAGTCCACCATGAGTCCTGAGGAAGACTGAGAACAGGCAGAGACAGGAAACAGCAAGGTCTGGAAGGAACCTCAGCTTCCCTCCGCACCTGCTCAGACACTGGGGATGAGCCCCCTGGCGGCCCCGCGCGCCCACGCAGGAGGTTTGTGTCTGGGCTCAGACTGATGTCCCCTCACTGTGTCTCTGGCAGAGTAGTACACGGCCGTGTCCTCGGCTCTCAGACTGTTCATTTGCAGATACAGCGTGTTCTTGCTGTTGTCGCTGGAGATGGTGAACCGGCCTTTCACGGCGTCTGCGTAGCTTGTGCTACTACCGTCATAATCAATGTATGAGACCCACTCCAGCCCCTTCCCTGGAGCCTGGCGGACCCAGTTCATGTAGTAGTCACTGAAGGTGAACCCGGAGGCTGCACAGGAGAGTCTCATGGACCCCCCCAGGCTGGACCAAGCCTCCCCCAGACTCCACCAGCTGCACCTCACACTGGACACCTGCAAACACAGACACATCCTGGTCAGAAACTGCCACACACACCCGTTTCTCTCACTCACATCCACTCACACACCCAATGTCTCTAGTTCTCCATGAATTACCTTGTAACAGAGCAACTAGGAAAACCCAGCTGAGCGCAGACTCCATGGTGAGTCTCTGTGTTGAGCCCTGATCACTGAATGGGGACACCTGGGAATGCCAGGGCTGCGGCTCCTCTCCCAGAGCTGCAGGGTGAGGGCTGGGCTGGTTTTATCAGCAGAGGGAGGGCCCTATTTGCATGTCCCCTGCTATATAGCAAGGTCTGGGTGGGACACCTGAGGCAGGGCAGGGCCCACATCACAAGTGAGTGTCCGGGGGCAGGTGTATGACAAGG